AGTTCGGATCCCGACGAACTTTGGACACGAAGACCTTTAATGACCTCTTACCTGCAACAAGATCAATCTTTAAAAAGGGACACACGTCATGCGGTCGGGCGACAACCACATCGGTATTTCCGAAACACAGATGCCGACCACATGGGGAATGAACAGGTGGTCATGTTCGAAGCTCGTGTTGGACGGGGCAGTGTCCTCCGCTTAGCACTCGGACCCCGGACAGGCTAGCACGCGAAGTCCGCCTGGGTCCCGACTAAAAGATGGTGCGAAAGAAAGAGAGAAACAGCCAGCCCATGTAGCCGGCGTTCCAGAACCGTGCTCGAGCGAACGTACTCCGCAACTGCATTTGATCAAAACCAGAAGCCGGAGACGGACTCTCCCCGTCACCGGGCGGGTTGTGCGAACCACCGGACGGGCATGCCCGAAGGCAAACCAACGCACCTCCCGAAACGTGAAGTTCGTCGGGATCCGAACTTCCGGACGATGCGACAGGCAGAGACGGCGTCATAGACACACGATCCGTGGACTTAACCACGACCTGGGAATGCCACACAGACATGAGAGGCCGGTTGAGAAGGATAAGTTCACCGAAATCCGAACTTCTTCTGATATGCGCAGCAGCCGTGACAACATTGTATGGGTCCCTGGTGGGGCAGAATGAAACGTGTGGAGCAGGGCGGACAGGAGCTGTTGTCGCAATCCACGGGGGATCAGGAAGACTAGTGTCTGTCCAATAGATAGGCATCACAGGAAGTTCGCCGGGATCCGAAGTTCAGGACGCTGCGAGAAAGATACACAGAGAGAAACACTGGATCACGTATGAGGTTAGACGCAAGTTGGGGTCCGAGCAAGGTGTTGGAGGGAGAACCTGGGGTCTCACAACTCACCGCAGGTTTTGATGGCAATAGTCATTGAGTCCGTCTATGCTCAAAACAGATCCAGATGCAACAAGAGGGCCCGTAAACTGGGATCTCTAACAGGTTTCAGGAAACGCGAAGCTCGCGCGACCCTGCGCTCATTGCGCGCCAGAATTGTTCGGCCAATGCCAAACTCTGCGACTGGGATCCCTAACAGTGCTTTTGGCATTTCGCAATAACAATGATCGACTATTTGGCACATGTCGATGGTGGTCCGGCGACAACCGAACACGGATAGTGTTTCTGAAGTTCGGTTGGCGGTGGTCTCAGATCGCGAACGTGCCCAGGCGGTCTCAAGTCGCATAACCTTTTCGAAGGCGCGCCCGACTGGGTTTTGGTCTCCGGCCAGCACTCGAAGCTCGAAGGCCGGTCGGACGGGCCTGCGGCCTCAAGCAAGATCGTGCTCGTGGTGCCCGGTGGTTCTTGCGGTCCGCCCGACGCCAACAGTACCAAAGATAAATCAGCGCACAACCCAAAACGCGAAGTTCGCCGGGATCCGAACTTCGCCCGGGCGCGACATGGAAGCAGACGGCGTCAGAGATAGACCTCCAACATGGTTTTTGTTGGTTGTTGAACTGAACAGCGATCAGGGATTTGGACGACAAGTGTGCGGTGTAGCGTTTACTAGCAACCGTTGCCTCTCACACCTCCCTCCACTGCTACAAATCTAATATTATAGGCAGCAAAACAGCATCTCATACCTCTCCCTTCTTTTCCCTTAAACACCAGGACTGACTACCAGTTTAGATGTGCCGATATTCGGGGTTCCCCTGGGACGACGTCGTGAACCGAAGCCATACAAAGCATTCATTGATGATCCCTATATGTGGATCTGCGGTTCGTCTACCGATGCCCTCTCCGAAAAGACGGACATGTATTTCATCCTAACAAACACTCCCGGTTGTGCTAAGGAATTCCCTATACAGTCCCGTATATCGGACACTTTCTCCTCGACCCCACGATGCAACGAAAAGTTTTGGACCCGCCCTACTATCACCAAATCGCGCCACCCATCTACACGTTCAGGCTCGCGCATCCGCAAGAATTTGGACCCCTCAATCACCACCTCGTTCCGTGATACAAGCACAACTGCATCGACGAGTTTCCTGCTCTTGTTCGACGCAGCGACACATAGAACTCTGGCGAAATCAGACCCGGACACAGTCAATCGCACACAACAGTATGACACAGCTTGTGGAGAATTCCCGGGGCACTGGAGCGGGTACTTCTCTAGGAACGAGCAGTGGCTAGCGCAGTCCACCAACTCTTGTTTCCGCGGGCCTCCCCAAGTTCGTGGCGATGACCTGACGTAGTGGCACTCGAGGCGGCTGAAATGGCGGCTAATACAGCCCAGTGCTCTGCGCAAATGGTTCAGGAACTTGTTTCCGAGGACAGCGTCAAACACCGGGATGAGGTTCCCGAACTCCAACATGTTGGCGAACTTGTACTGGCTTGCCCAAGGACAGCGACTCTCCATCATGGCCCAATTCCCATCGCACCAACCGTCAATATGCCCGTGCATGCACGGGATGACGGTCATCCAGGGGTCCTCGTCGAAGTCCTCTGTGGTCGCTTCATGGATCGTAGTTACACCGTTAAAATACCGCACGGATCTCGCGCAAGGACGAAACGGTTCTGCCAAACAAATGTGCGTCTCGGGACTCATGGTCCGTGGTGTCGAGAAGATCGACTCCATGATTCGTGGTGTCGAGAAGGTCGCCTCCATTACACACCCTACACACCACACGCACATGCCAAACGACACACACGGGCACGAAGACACTCGTAAACACGTCGTGTTTCACGATATGTGACCTATGGCATTAGACGAGGCGCACGCTCGAAGATCTGATTTCGGGTGGTCGACTTGGTTGGTGTTCACTTCTGCCGGTCAGCAGGCCAGCCGCAAACATGTCCCACGAGAGGCGGGAACCTCATGTTCGCCGTGATCCGAACTTGGCGAGACTGCGCGGGAGAGACAAACGTGTCTCTCAAACTCGTCGTCCCAAACTTTCTTGAAGTTCGGATCCCGACTGACTTCACATTTTTACGAATCCGAAGTTATGGTAATCCACCGGGCGCTAGAAACTCCACAGTCAGAACCCACACCACCCGAAAATTGAAGCACGCCTGGGTCCGAACTTGACGACCGCACGAGGAACCGTGCACAAGAAGTTCGGATCCCAGCGGACTCGCCGGGATTCGAAATTGACGACTGTCCGAGGAACCGTGCACGACAGGTTTGGATCCACGGCCCAGCAGGCGGGCCGCAAACATGAATTGCGAAAGGAGGAAATCTCAAGTTCGTCGGGATCCGAACTTGGCGAAATTGCGCGGCAGAGACACTGTCAGCGAACTCGATGATGGGACGAGGAACCGTGCACGAGAAGTACGGCCTGTGGTTGTGGGCAGTTAGAACTCAGCGAACTCGGCGATTGAACGAGGAGCCGTTCGCGAGAAGTTCGGATCCCCGCGGACTTCATGTGTTTACGAATCCGAGGTTGTGACAATCCCCCAGGCGCCAGCAAGTCCGCATTCTGAACCCAAACAATGCGAAAAGCGAAGTTCGCCGGGGTCCGAACTTGACGTATGTGCGAGGAACCGTGCAGGAGAACTCCGGATCCCAACGGACTTCGCATTTTCACCAAACCGAAGTTCACCGAGGTCCGGACTTGACGATTGTACAAGGAACCTTGCAAGCGAGGTTCGGATTCACATCCCAGCAGGCGGGCCGCAAACATGTCTTCCGAAAGGCGGGAACCTGAAGTTCGTCGGGATCCAACCTTGGCGAAATTGCGTGGGAGAGCCACACCTATCTACCAAACTCGCCGTCCAACAATTTTTTGAAGTTCGGATCCCGGCGGACTTCGAATTCCTACACATCCTCGGCCGTGGTTGTGGGGCGGGGTTGCGAAACGTGTTCGAACAGGTGCACAAGCTCGCCGAAATGCGAACTTCTTCCGTTGTTTGATTTCGCGATCAGTTCAGTTTGATTGCGCGATCAGTTCGCCAAAGTTCGACGTCCGACGAGGTTCGACGCCCGCGGAGGTTTGATGTGAAGCCAGGTTCCATGGCCAACATGGTTCGATGTTATACAAGGTTCGATGAGCAACAACATTATGTGATCCGTTCGCGGGCACATGATCAATTGCCTTCTGCGATCCGTTCGCGGGCACATGATCAATTGCCTTAGGGATTCTCAGCGAACAACGGATTTGTCGCAGATCGGTCGCTCGATGTCGCTGCTTCCAACGTCTGGAGATCGATGATCTGGTCGGCGAGCGACCGGTCTATCGAACTTGTTGATAGTCTTCGACAGAACACTCGATTGGTCAGGAGATCTGCCAGGATCAACTGTTTGATCGGGTGCTCGGTTGGCGGTTGGTGTGCTGGTTGATCAACCAGTCGAGCAACCGCCAATAGAGCACCCGATCAAACAGTTGATCATGGCAGATCTCTTGACCAATCGACTGTTCGTTCGCCGACGGGTTGATCGCGCACGCGTACACGCAGACGCACGCACACGCACATCGCCTGGCGGAACACATAACAGGTTAAGGTGCTCAAACAGCACTCACAGGCACACGCACACACACACAAACACGCACATCGCCGCGTGTGTTTTGATGTTGCCATTGAGACAAGCGAAACACACACGTGGTGACAACGTCGGGACAGCACACACGATCAATCGACCGATCGCGAGTAATCTGTTAGCGTTTCACGATTGGTCGGATGGATGCGTTTGCGATCCCGATGTTGTCTCCTCGTGCACTGATTAATCATCCGTTAGGCGGATCAGGGGCGATATTGTTGCGACAGCAAACAGTATCAATCACCCGATCGCGAGTGGTCGGCTTATGTTTCGTGATGGGTCGGTTCATCGCGTGTATGTTCTAGACATTGTCACCACGTGTTCGACCAGAGCTTTCTCTGTTGGTCGGTTGATTGCAGCAGAAGCTCACACACTCTCACGCATACACAAAAAGAAAAACACACACGTGGTGATAACGTCGGCACGCCAGACAAGATGAATCGACCGATCACGATTGATTTGATCGTGTTTCTCGATTGGTCGACGGATGGGTTCGTTGTGTCAACATTGCCACCGCGTGTTTTGATTGATCATCCATTGGGCAGATCGGCGGATATGACATTGGGACAGCACAAAGGATCATATCGAGTATGGTCAGTGCTCAAGATGTGATTGTGTTTCGTGATTGGCCACCGCGTGTTCGATACGACCTTCCGTGATTCGCCAGTTGAGCACCGCAAGAGCACACCGGAATACAGTTCTGCGTTAAAACCTGCACAATCGTTGGAAAAATTGCACCTCTCAACCTTCGCGCGCATCTCTGCGCGTTCAATGTGCTCAATCACACACACACGTGCACGAATATGCACAGACAGGCACACGCACACACACACACACACACACACACGCCCGCACACGGTGCCCACACACACACACGCCCCTCAGGTACTGACACGCGCACGATCCTGCCTCGCGCGTGTGGCATACACGTCATACAACCACACACACAATAAAACACGCACTCGAATATGCACACACAAAAACAATCACACAAACACACATGCGCACGCACAAACACACACTAGCATCCAAACACACACACACACACACATCCATCCGCACACACGCAAACACGAACTCTTTCAATCTGCGCGAGCATATCATCAGAAAACCCACCCACACGCGCACACAAACACACACACGTCCCGACTACGGGCGCACTGACCGTGTGATAATGTCGAGTGGAGATGCGCGTGAACCCCGCCGTCAATCGAGACAGCACTCTGTCGACCTTTTGGCTTGTGTTTTTTGTTCGCGAGTGTACTGCGTGGAGTGCTTTGTGTTTGCGAGGGTAGTGCGTGGAGTGGTGGGCGTCGGAAGTGTCGACACATGACGTCGAATATGACGTGGACAGCGACTTCGAAGGTGGAGGGAGATGCGAGGGCATGCGGGGTGCGTCAGTGCCAGGAAACGAGCGCGGTGAGGAATGGCTGTCCCTTCTCTTTGCCAGCTATGGCGCTCCAACTGTGCGGGGTGTTGTTGTTGACGAAAGTGGCGGTGCGAGGCTTCCGTTGGGCAGCATCTCCCCAACAAAAATGCAGAACGCATCGTTAATGCCCAGGGCGCCGCTCGTACTTGTAGGCGCGCGGGACTCGAGGCCCCCTCGGGCCTTCCGTTTCGGAATTTGGCGCAGGGTCCGTACGCCACCGCACGACTGCTCGATCCCCGCATCGAACGGTGGCTGCACGTCGAAATTTCCCCGACGGGGACCTGGTGAGAGCGACATGACAAAAAAGTCCCTGTGGGCTAACCCTTCCTGGGTGTCATTAAAAAATAGGGCCCTTGTTCCTGGCCCCTCGCGTTCGTGTTGTCGGGTTTGCAGGCCCCGCTCGAGGGGGTCTCAGGCAGCAGGGGGGGCAGCTTGTATTTTCCAGTCCGTTGGTGGGGGTGGGGGGGGGGGGGGGGGGGGGGGGGGAGGTTGGAGGGGTTCGCGGCCATTCGCGTCTCCTGCCTGGCGAGCGGGGTCTGAGGCCGCGCGGGGGGACACAAGGGGGTCTTTCCATGGGGTGCGACAACAGTTTGGGGCTCCGCTGCCTGGGGTCCGGTGCAGCCCATTCGCATCTCCAGCCGTGACAAGCGCATTCGCGCACGGCGTCCCTTCGGCGACCTCCTCCATCGCCTTTGCTGCTCCGCTGTTGCGCCACGTGTCTGTGGGCGTGGGTGTAAGGGTTCCCTCTCGTCACCAACTCTTTCCCGTCCTTCTGCCCGCTACTGGGGTCCAGTTGTCAGCGCTTCGACATTCCTTCTTTGCGTTCTGCGTTAGCAAGTGGCCGTCGTGGTTTGCGCTCAGCCCTTGTCGAATAGTCGCGCCATCATGTGCGCTTCGCCATCGTCGAAGAACTGCGCCTCGTCTAAGAATTGTGCCCTGTCAGAGAGCTGCGCCATCGTATGCGCTGTGCCCTCGTTAAGGTAAAGTGGTTTTCCGCCTGCCCGCGTGTAAGTCGTCGCACATGCTTGCCGGCGCATGGGAGCAGCCGCATCGCGCCACGTGTCGCAAGTTGCGGGGACGGCTGGAACGGATGTCGATGACATTGGGGCACATGGTTTCTGTATGCCCTTTTGCTTCTCACTCGTTCGTTCCTCACGAGCGGCCCATGACTCTTGCTTACCATCATCATCATCATCATCATCATCATCATCGTCATCATCGTCATCATCGTCATCATCGTCATCGTCATCGTCATCATCATCATCATCATCGTTGTCATCATCATCAACACCATCATCATCATCATGATCATCATCATCCTCATCATCATCAACAACATCATCAACATCATCATCATCATCATCATCATCGACATCGTCGTAGTCATCAACATCGCCACCGTCCTCGTCATCATCATCATCATCATCATCTGCATCGTAATCAGCATCATCATCATCTTCATCAACATCGCCATTATCATCATGTCGTGGCACGTGCCGCAAGTGGCGGGGACGGAGGGAATGGATGACGAAGACATTGGGGCACACGGTTACTGTGTTCCCTTCTGCTTCCCTCTCGCTCGTTCCACGCGATCGCCCCCATGGTTCCTGCTTGGGTTGGTGTTGGGCCAGATGGTTTCTGTATTTCCTTCTCTTCTCACTCCCTCGTTTCTCGTGACAGGCCCCATGATTCCTGCTTGGCTTGGCATTGAAGACGAGCCAACTGAACATTGCAAAACACTCCCATGTGGTTGCCATATTGAACATTGCAAAACACTCCCGCGTGTTTGAGGCAAACACGAAATCGCCTTTTTCCAGCAGAACACGAGATCCCGTTGACAAACGTTCCTCGCACCTTTGCTTTCCTCATCAAACAGTTTAGAGGTTGTTTAACACAAAGGAGATGCATTGGACTGCAAATCCACGACTGATGGTTCGAATCCCTTGCATGACAGACAGTGGTCACGACGGGTGTGCTGAACGACCAGCGGGGCGCCACATGGGCTGCGCGCGACTAGGGTTGGTATTAAGCATCGCACGGTGGCCACCGTGCGAAGGATGTCCACCGTCCACGTGGCGTGCAGTGAGAGGGATGGTGTTCATCAACAGGTGGGGACGTCGTTCCGTTTTCATGTTCTCATCACAACACTTGTACCTCCCTCCCCGGAGAGACTATGGCGTCAATCCCAGCAGAGTTGGTGTCGTCTCCATCCCGTGCACACAACGTGCACATGATCCACCATAGAGGCCACGGATGTTGAGCGCGCGTGCCTAGCGCTGGTCATGAGGGACACGACAACACATTGCGTACGACAAATGCCAGTGTTGTGCGCGCAACATCCGCGGGCTCCAAGACGAAGAATGCACACGTTGCGTGAACGCGATGGAGAACGACAACACCTCTCACTGCAATGACAATGTCGTTTCTTCGGCGTGAGTGCCGCATGTTTCATGACAAGAACCTCAACACGAAAAAATGGCCTCGTTCAATAACGAACAACCCGGCCGCCTCCGGGACACGTCTTATTCGTCGGGGAACGGAGGGTCGCCATTGTGAATGTAGGCGCGAAACCAACAACCGCCAAACATAAAAAGGCGAGTCGCGTGTCGTTGCCTGGCGAGATGGGAAGTTCGGATACTGGCGAACTACAACAATCATGCGCAGTGTTCTCACACAAGTGCCACTGTGTTGCCATCGCGCGGCCGTTGGGAGAGCACGCGCCTGTGAGAAAACAGCGCATGATTGCTGTAGTTCGCCGGCATCCAAAGTTCCATTTTCGCCAGGTTTTCACACGCGACTCAACGTTTTTTTTTGGCGGTTGTTGGTTTCGCGTTCGCAGTCACAATGCCATTCCCGGGTGCCCTGATGACTAGCTTTTGCGATAAATTTTCCAGCTTTAGGGCGTGGGGTCGATAGTTCAGAACGCCCTGCCAGTTGTCACCGTGCGAGGGCGACAACACAAAGTTCAGTTTCCGACAGACTTGCGACCTGAAGCAAGCGAAGTCGTGAGCTGCTCGCATGGTCATTAATGTTTCGACCGCATCGCTGAAATCACACTCTTACGATGTGCATGGAGATTTACGGAGTCCTAGGTACATGACTGTTCTTTGGGTGGCGTTCCCACAAAAAAACAGTCCTGTCACTGGGACCCCAGCAAAAACAAAGTGTGTCATGCTCCCGGTCGACACGCAGCAACAGATGTCAAGTTCGGATCCGGGCGAACTTCGTGGTGGGCACCCGTTCGTGGTCCCTCAGTGGAACCGAGGACAAGTTCGTATCTTGTGGAATTTCATTGACCCCCATGAACCTGGTTGTGGAACCTGCCATTGCGAGCTCGCCTTGTCTGCGGGACTAATTGGGGGTCGTAGGGGCTGTTTGAGGGTGCTTAACGACGGGTTTTGGTTCTGTCCACTGAAGCTCGGATGTGGATCGTCGCGTTTCCCGCTAATCAGCCCGTCCAATATGCGACTTGCCGCGAAAAAACCCGTTCCTCTCTATTCCGGTGACCGCCAAGTTCGGATCTCGCCGGACTTCGAGGTTCGACTAGAATCTAACCGGCCATTTCCGACGGCCTGGCCTTTCGCATGTGTTGTGGTCGCCAAAGACCTTTGGGTGCCGAAAAGTGCCAGCCTGTCGAATTGCCTCGTTGGGGTTTGAGGGGGTTGCCGACGGTGGTGTCGTCATCGGCATGCGTGCAATCTGGCCGCCGACATTCCCGTGTCTCCGCGCGCATGGCGGTTCGCGCTATCATATGTCGACGTTGGCAGCGAGCGGGTCGGGCCTCGCCTTGTCGACTGGACGAATCGTCGTTAGATGGGGTTGCATGGGGGGCCACCAGCCATGGTGAGTTTTTTTGTGGGTTCAGTCATTGTCATCACGGATCACAACATTTGTGACTGAATCGCCACACAAGCTCGCTTTGTCGGTGGGGAGAATCGGCGTCTATGGGGGTCTATTGGGGCGGCGCTGCGTCGATTTGTGACGTGGTGCACCTACGACTACCATTTCTGTTGAATTTCTGTTGTGCGTGCTCTCGTCGAACAGACACTTGTGAGCAGCAGCAGGGCCTCCCTGACCATGCAGACACGTATAGCGTTCCTTCTGTGCACTTCAACACCCATCCTCGAAATATCCGACATCCCCTGCACAAACCGGTTCCTCGTCAGTCCAACAACCGCCAAGTTCGGATCCCGACGGACTTTGAGGTCCCGCAAAAAATTTAACCGCCCGTTACGACGTCCTCGACTATCACGTGTGATCTGATTATCAGAGGCCTCTGGGTGCGCAAAATTGCTCGCATTACGCAGACCTCGGTGTTCGTCGCACTCCAGACTTGCAAGCGGCCGGATTCCCGCGCTGGTTCAAACAAATTTCATGCCATAAAAATCCGTAGTGAGGGTACAAATAATCGGGGTTTGTGGGGGTCAGTTGCGGGCGGCGATGAGCCTTTCCGAAATGTGGTGCGCCCAAGCGTTGCCTGCTTCTATGCAAACGCCAACGACCCGTTCCAATACCTACAGCCGCACGAAAACCTGGTACTCGCTGCAAGCTTTGAGGATCTGCGCAAATCTAACCGTCCTTCGCATGACGCCTGAAGCTTCGAGTGTGACTTGATTGTGAGAGGACTGTGGGTGCGGAAAATTGCCCGCCTTCTGAAATGCCCTTGAAGGGGTTTATGGGGGTTGCCGATGGTGACAACGGCCGTCGCAGTGCTCGGAGTCTTGTCGCAGACATGCTCGTGTTTCGGCGTGCTGTCTGGTTCGCGCTGTCGCACGTCGATGTGCCCGGCGCGCGAATCGGGGGTCGCCTTCTCGACTGGCCGAATCAGGGTTTGGAGGGGTGGCAGGGGGGATCTTTCATCCATTTCTAAATTTTTTGTGTCTGCGCAGTGTACATGTCCGAGTTCGACAACCTCTTGTGCTAGCACATCTGATTGGACGATGGTGAGAATCGGTGTTT